AGGCAGGCTGGCAGTGGTTTGTGTGGACCAGGGGTGTTGATAGGATCTTGAAACATTGGGGGCACAGCAGCACAGCATAGCCCTGCCTACCCAAAGTAAGTCTGTAAAACAACAGCAAACTCACAACTCCATCAACTGTCTCGTTTGCTTGCTAACTCGTTAACAAACCTAACTCTATTTCACTCTTTTTTCCTTCTGTAAGTCATTGAGCTCCATTTCATGTATTAAATGTGACGGGGTATATAAATAAGTATATTCTCATTACTATAACTACTAATAACATAAAATAATACAATAATAATACTAATTCGGGTGTCCCCCAATTTTGAGCATTAAACACTTCAGTTTCTGCATTCTGGTGATTTATTCTTTACCAATTTCTGCGTTTTCTGCATCAATGTTGCAAATATCTTTATTAATGTAAAGGGAAACTTAGGTGGCAGGTGACCTTATAGTCCTAATCCACCTAAAGTTTTAAAGGCTATTCTGGGTGAGGCGTTCCTCCAAATGAGGAGCTTATCAGTTTGTTTGTGGTGTAGGAGAAACAGAACATTAATAAACACTCGTCTAGGGCACCACCATATTGACATGGAATTTACCCAAGTTAATTAATAACTCTCTCAGATCAGTCTCTTGATTGATTGAATTATTTTTGATACATTGACTTGTCTTCTGTTTGAAGAAAACACACAAGACCACTTCTTACTGGTTAAATGTGACCATTTAATTACAGCTAAATACCTGATAACTGAATAAATGAAGGATTAATAATTTGTAACGTTAAATGATAAAAAAAATAAAATAAAAACAGGTGAATAGCAGATTATGTGATAAAATAAACCTGATCTTACTGGCAACTGTTAAGCAGGCCTGTGTGATTGGATTGTGAAAAAAATTAACTTCTCTAAATGGGAATTAATATTATGAAGATATTTTACTCTACATCAACTCCTTAGCAAAAAACTTGGTTTAGCCTGCTGCTTTGAAGCACTGGCAGAGAAAAGATGCTCTGCTGGCTTTCCGGAGTTGTGTGTAGAGGGAGGCAGATGTGAAAAAGTTTGAGAACCACTGCTTTAGTACACAGTGCAGGCTCCTTTTTTAGAACGTTAGTTTTAAGCTGGCTAGACTACAGCAGCTCAGGTACAGATGATGCTTTTTAACAGTTATGCTGGTAGAGCGAGCTGTTCTCCTGGGATACAAGTTGGCTTGTTGAATAAAATATATCTGGCTACACTAACTTCTTCAGCTAGGCTTATAATTCTGTCGGTCAGATAAAACAAAGAAATTGCGTGTTATAAAACTTGGGAGACTTGGTTGTGGTACAAGATATAAAGTAAACAAAACAAGTCTTGGCTGAGACTGGTCCTCATCCCCTAAATCTACCTACAACTGGCGGCCATATATGGGCCAGAGCTGGCTAGGGCCTCTGGTACTTTGCTGAGTGCCCCAATATACAGTCATATTCAGCATGAAATGACTGGACCCCCAGGTAAGTTAAAATATTTGAAATAATTTCACACGTCAAAAAGAAGGCAGACACTGCAGTAATAAACATGTGGAAAATACATTTACTGAAAGAAATTAGTTCTGAGTGAAATCAGCACACATCAATGACATGTGATTTTGTGTCTGTTATGTCTGCATCTTTAAGTCAGGGAGAAGTCGAGATTGAAGGGGAACTCCACCAGTTTTACACATAAAAGTCACCAGGGCAGGCTAGGATGGGGCAGTGCAATATAACTGAAAAACAGGCAAAAATAGAAGGTTAAAAGGAAGATTAAGTAGTCAGTCCTTCAGTCCACAGGTTCTTAACAGGCAACTCAGGTAGTGTCAAAGTCTAACTTAAAACTTCCTGCAGGTAAAAATGTTATTTAAAACTCAAAAAAGTCCTCAACAGAAAGTGTCAAGTCATATCTTCTTCTCCTTTAATCGTTCTTAAGTAATATTTAGGTTATTTTCTGTGTCCTCTTTAAAGTCAGTTTTTTTTTCAGCTCCTTCCAGTTGTGTGCTCTGTCCTTCTGCCTCCTGTGTTTTGTCCACTCTCAGGCCCCATCCACACTACTGCGTTTTGCTTTTACAACGGAGACCTATTGCTATGTTTGCACCTCCCGTCCAGACTAAAACGGAGAACATTAAAAACACTGCCAACCCCGTTTTTATTTTTAGCGCGGACGGGCAAAAATGGCGGACTTTAGAAACGATGACGCAGATACTCGCATTTGGCTCTCATAAGTCATGCAAAGCAGAAACACGATGCGACTGACAGAGTTTTTGACTTGGTATTTCTATTGAAATATTTTGTATCGTGCAAATAAGCCAACACTTGTACTCGCCGTATTTACTTTGCAACAACCCCAGTCTGTTTTCCGCCGCCACAGCCGCTTTTAGCTCCTGTGTTAAGATGTGTACACATTGAATGATTGCACTGATTGCATACAAAGTCAATGCTGTCATTCGCTGGTTTGCGTGAGTTCCAATTTTTCAACTTGCGCAAGAAAATTGCTTGACACGATGTTGCGAAAGCTAATCAGCGGTGAGATTGTCCAAACGTCACCGGCGGCTTCGGAGCGTTGTTTGGAGAGGACCTGGCGAGCGGTGTAATGACAATCCGCTTGCCTACAGAGAGCAGCTCAAGAACGAGAAAGTGTACGGGGAGCAGCGCTGCAGTTTTTGGACAAATAAACACCCGAAGTCGGTCTGGCTTATGCTCCGACAACTACGCCGTTTACCAGCAGGAGGAGCTCAGAGTTAACAGCTTTTATTAAATTAGCTTTTCACTTTAGTTTTTGGGATTACAACTTGAGGTAGGTTCATTGGTGTCTCCAAAATTGTCCTTAGGTGTGGATGTGAGTGGTTGTTTGTCTATGTGTGGCCCTGCGATGGACTGGCGACCTGTCCAGGGTGTACCCGATGTAAGCGGGGATTGGCTCCAGCCCCCCACGACCCTGTAGGCAGGATAAGCGGTTGACGATGGATGGATGGTTTAAGCACTTAGACCAGTCTGAGTGGTGAGGCAATATGGGAGATAAAGTGTTTACAATGGCAGCCATTTTGTGATGAGGCAATTATGTATAATAATAATAATGATGATGATAATTAACTTTACTAGCCACATACAATTTATACACAGTACAAGGTATGCAGAATTTCTTCTCTATTCCATCCTAATTAGCTCAGTACAGCTCCTCATCTCAGCTTGAGGCTCGAGGCTACACTAACATAACACACACTTGTATTTTGGGTAATGTAGGCGCCAGATATTGACAAGGAAGAAGAATGTGTGGAATAAAAAAGATCATATATCTGGTTCTGCTGTATCTGGAGTACAACAAAACTCCACACAGATAAGACCTACATAAAGGCAGGCCCAACCTCATTGATCTAACTACCTCAGACTATAGTTTTGTTCATTGTATAAATTAATGGGATGTAAATCAAGTTATCAATGGAATGCGAAGGTTGAAAGTGTGTCCACACTGCAGCTATACAGTTACTGATAATATCCACACAGGCCCAGAATAGAAAACCCTATTTTAGAAATGGATGGACAGCGCTAACAAATGAAAAACCATGGGAGAAGTGTGCACTTCATCTGTGTAGACTCAAGAAATCTACCAGTTGTGTGAGTAACGTCTATGATTTACAACAGGAACACATTTCTTTCCTCTGTCCTCACATAACAAAAAAGTTATAACTGGAAAAAGAAATACCATTTTTTTTAAAAACTCCATTTTTCCTCTGGAGCCTCACCTTTGAAAGCTCTGGCACTAGTTGTGGTGAAGAGAACTTTTGCTGTTTGCTAGCTGAATGACCATGACTGAACATCCATCTTTCTTCTTCTTCTGACATTTGGACATAAAAGCCTTTCAGCAGTTTGGAGACAAAAAGCAAGCTAGTGATCTGTAACCCAAATCAAATCCCTCTGCTGTTGATTTATTCTGCTCAATACACCAAAAAAGAAACCTTAAGAGTTTATGTCCACATAGTCAGGCTAAATGCATATAGTCTGAAAACTCACTTGTTTTATTACAGAGCAATTATGTTAAATTTATTGTGAGGAAATGTTTCAATTTCTTTCTCCATTGTTTAATACAGGTCTACGCATGGGTCATCGATTGGGCATAATAAGCCTCACATCTTGTTAAATGTAAAAACTAACACATCTGTATCGCTATTTTGACAACAAGGACTAGAAATTGCAACCTTGACATTCATCAAACTTGAATGTGAACTTGATCATCAGTGAACTGTAATATCACTACAGACACAACAGGACTTTACCATCTTGTAACACATTTAAGTGTGCGTTCAGCTGCATTTACTGTAACATCCATATAAATACCATCTGAGCCATTGCTCTGCCCCTCCTAAAGGGAAGGTTAAAGGTCACTGACCAGTGGACAGCCAGAGGGCATCTTTCCTCTGGCTGTCTAAGTCTGTAAAGTCTAAGTCAATTTAATTTTAATTTTTTTAATTTTCTAACTGTTCAGTTATAGCCTCTCTAGATCTTGATTCCCAACATAAATGCTCTTTAAAAACCCTGATAATGATTTATGACTGACGTTATGGGCTCCTAGGATTTATGTTTCAGATGTTACATCCAAATGACTTGTATTATAATGTTGGGTTTTCCTGCTGTGAATCATATGCGGTCTCACGTCCAAGTCAATTTACAGTGGTGGCTGTCTTTGTCTCCCAGGAGATGAAGCATTATTCACTGTGGAGCAGCTCTAGGATTTGTCTGTGAAATAATCATTACAGGCAAGTCTCTGCTGAGCAGCTTAAATACTTAGTGGTACAAATTTACTACTTAAAAAAAAAAAAGGAGCCTAGTGATATCATAGACATAAAACAAACTCAACTTTAAGGTGGATATCCTCTTAAACCAACCATATAAACAGCACTTAGCCTACATTAGCATTCTGCAGCATCTGTACCTTTTTTTGAAAACCTTTTGCTACAGAGAGTACCCAAAATTCCTCACAAAGAATCAGACAGGATTTTTTTCCCCCAGGGAAAACGTTTAATACTTGTCATAATGAACATGGTGAGTCCAGAGCTGCTGTAGCAATCAAAGCTAAGAGATGGCTGTTTGATGCATGAAAACAAACACCACAATAATGCTTGGGTCACATGTTGAACACAGTGCTCTGTTGAAGCTACTCAAAACAATAACTCTGAGTACAGACTTCTGACTGAAGGCTGGCTGACTTCTGCTCATCACAATCACAATGCATTAGTAGCTTACATGATTTAAAAATCAGGAAACTCCACTCAAGTTTGGGAAATCAAATACAGAATTACTAGTCAAGGACAGCCCAGTCAGTCAATGTGTGTTTACTCAAACATCTATTGCGAGAGTTGGTCAGAAAAGTAAGGCTAGTGCAGTTAAAACAAGAGCTCTCACAGCAAAGCCATAGAACCCAAACATCGTACCATGCATCTTCAAATTGAAGGCTTACCTGTGCTTTCGTGTGTTAAGAAAACTGTTCTACTTTTTAAAGATAAACCATCTAAAAACTCAGTTTATCTCAAAAAAGTATCTTCACAAAGATGAAATAGTGATGTTTTTCTTTAACCCTGAAAGGTTGACTTGAGAAAAAAATCACAGTTCACCACAGGAAAGCTATTCAACAGTAACAGGGGTTGTCTTGAGCCAAAGCAATAACATGTGTGGACTCTTAAACTGAGTGGGGTGTCCTTGTAATTCTGTGGCAGTGAAAAATAGCAACATATTCTTGGGGGAGTTTTCAAGAAGCAGGCATACACAGTCGGCCACGCTGCATCGTTTTTTTGTTTAACAAACTGAAAGTGGTTCTATTAAATGAAAACTAGGCATTTGCCACAATGAATATGCAAGGTGTGTTACAGAGCTTTTCTCCAATGTCAGCACTTAAGAAAAATTGCATGAAATGGTCAGATTCAACAGTTCAAGTGAGTGAGCATGTGTGAGTGCAAAAAATATCCCAAAACATAAACATTCAATTTCAACGTAGCTTTTTTGCACAACTACATGATCAGACAAACGGTGATCCTCCGGCTTGAAATGCACCACTAGGATAGAAAACTAAACCCAACAAAAATACAGAATTGCCCTACTCATAAACATTAACACCAATATTCAGGTGAGGATCTGCTTGCTCATGAAAATGTGGTTGAAATAATGCATTAACAACAGCCTTGTGTCATTTTCTTGCTGCCATTACAGCAAAGCATTTGTTCCACGCGCAATTTAAATCCCTAACCCAATTTAAAGTGCAGAACTGTAGTGAACTGTGTGTGACACAAAGGCATCATTCTCAGTGTGAGGCCTTAAATGCCGGATTTCCAAGTTGATCTTTGATGATTTTAGATTGTTTTACATATCTGGAAAGTTCAGCACCCATATAATATGTAATTAAGAAAAAAAAGAAATGAAATCTAAAATACATTTCCACTCACATTGCAATAATTTAAAGAAAATTCATCAGAACCAATTCCACCATCTACTCAAACTGTGTCTCCACTCCTGTTAACACTGAGCTGAGATCAGTTATACAACCAGAAACCAAGAAGAAAAATGCAAAAGGGGTCGGTGTTTTCATTATCAATATCAGTGCTGCACTATAACTGTCCTCCAGCAGGTGTTACTATTACACTGAGCTGAACATGACAGGAAAATAAAAACATGGGAACTTAGAATACAGAACAAAAAGGATCTGTGTGTCAAAACTCCATGAATGTGAGAACAAAGACATCAGTTACTGACTACTACGGCAGGACTTTTAAGTTAAGAATTATATGAATGTGGTCTATCCTTGTAAAACAAAAATCGGATAAATATACGCTACTGCAATTATCATTGTCCACTGTCATGAAGACTTTCTCCGAGTTTGTTGCAGGTTCAGAGGTCAGACTTTGATGCTATATGTATAAAACATGTAAGAGAAATCCAACAGAAACCAGGTTTAACTCTCCTCCATTTAATTGAGAAAACAGATACTTGATTTTTTTTGTTATCAGGGAAAATATGAAATAGAAATCTTCAGGTTTTATATGCTCCCAAACTGCTGAATTGAGAAACATCCTTTGGCTAGAGAATGTTGTCCTATCCAACATGTGGATAATGAGAGTCCAAAAATTTCTATTAACATTTCTAAACTGAACTTGAGCATCGGCCTGGGCTATGGTAAATCCAATGAGCCCAAGGTGATCATCATCATCTTCAATGGATGGCTGAAAGATTGCTTCAGTTCTCACATAAAATATTTACAGTCCATCAAACGTTTAATACGACACTGAACTTATTACTTGCATAATGGGCTTAAGCCCATCTTTTCCAGGAGGCCGGAGGGGGGGAAAAAAATAAAATATAATAAAATCAGATTTCTCTTTTGGTGTAACTTTGGTAAAGGAAGTTAACCTAATGCATTATGCACACAAACACTAACAATCTGTCTTCACAGCAGATCATTGGCGCTAGTGTTCAGTGCCAACACATCAACAATTGATTTCCCACTTTTTTTTATAGAAAAGGGGAAAGTAATCTTGTATCTCATATTTATGTTATATTTTATTTTCCAATCTCCTGTTTTCAAACACTGACAGCATTTAGGATTACTTTAAAATTACTACAATTAGCTTTAAAGGGTAAGTCTAATGATATTCTTTCCATTTTTGCATTTGTAAGATTAATATTATCAATATCGGCCTTAAAATTTTGTATCTGTAAATACAACTCTAGTATAAACTCTTCTGCCTCTAGACGTGGTCGGATGACCTAGTTTGTTGGAAGCATGCTGAGACCTTCAGGATCCAGCACTGGAGCAATAAACCAGCGACACCAAGTTCTTTCCACTGAAGTGGACCAACAGGCCATTTAGTATGTTCCTTTAAAGACACATCTGAACTGCAATCACACCAATGGTAACAAAGAGCCACAGTGGCCTCCTGGAAAGTGCAGCCGCAGTACCCCATTCAACAACAGCGAGTTTGTGTGAAAATGTTGAGTGGACTTCCTCATACACACTTTTCTAATGCTACCCATCCCCTGGTGACTGTTATTGGTGAATTAAGTTATGTTTTTCCTCTCTGGGTTTCCAGCCTAAAAGTATAGATGCCTTCAGAAACCTGACAGCTTTCTGCCGTTTAATGCTACACGAGTCCCAGAGACGTACCAGCCACAGCTGAGATGTAAGCCTGAAACAAAGTAGAAAAAGAATGAGGGAGTGTGGATTTACCTTTGACAGACTGTCAGTATGCAGACTTTTTTGGGGCTGGCACAAGACAAGGAAAGGTGATAGAGGCTTTCACAGTTGGAAAGTCTGAAAAAGCCCTCCAGTTATGTTTTTGAACTTCTTAAACCTCAGAAACCTAAGCTGATCTCCCCCAGCAGAAACCTTGGTCACGTTGGATTCATCTGTCACACACGCTGAATCAAATGTCCCGGACTGAAAGGCTTGGAGGATGAAAACTTGGAGAGGACCCAGGAGGAGGACTGGCCTCTCCAGACCAGAAGCTTAATGGTACTTGGTAGACTTCTGCTCTCAGTGCACTTTGTGGTCAATCAATGAAGACAACCAGGGTATTCCGTAGTTAATGACCTCAAAGTGGGGCTGGGGATGAGCTAGAGTTCAAAGTTTTTCCTTCTTCATTTCTGTATCTTCCCCCCCACATTTGTCCTCATCCTCGCATGAATAAAAGCGTCTCTTTTGGAGGCACAAGAGTTGGTGAAGAGAGGCATCCATTGCAATGTGATGAGGTGTGTGTGTGTGTTTGTGTTGGGGGGTGGGGGTGGGGGGTGGTGGTGTTACCATATGTGGGATTCACAGTGAGTCATTTTAATGACGCCCACCCCTCCACCTAGCCGACGGTAGTTCATTCCTCCATACAACCTGGAAAGTAGTGAGAGTTAAATGATGAGGACGGAAAAGTTCCTATTTCCTTTTGTGCAGTAGACATTTGCTTAAAGGTACGTGTTATGGTACTCATTAATGTGAACGTGGCACAGAATAGAAGAGGAAAACAAGTAAAAATGAATCGCTGACTACCTTATTGGGGCTTATGTGACAAGAAAACATGGATAAGGAGAGTGAAATTGTAAATCCAGGGCAGGGAGGAGGGATTTAAATTTGTTTGTATGTTTGAATCAAATATGATGAAGTCAGGAGGCGGAGGTGGAATCACCCTGATCACGTGCACATGTGTGGATGTGTATCAAGCAAACACTTTTTACAAGCAATGCATTTTCAAAGTTCTAATAATTATATCAGCTCTAGTTTTCATTTAGAGTTCAGGGTCCTCTTGCAGTGTAGCTGATGTTCATCTACAATTTTCTGGAGTGTCCCAGTAATATCTGTTCTTACTGAAACTCCACAAATACTGATATACTGAATATCTTGTTTGATTCCATGGCAAAATATTAATTACACATGTAGGTCCCCTGTTTGTAGCATTTACAGTAAATTTAAACAATAATTGTATTTTAAGTAAGATATTTTTTGTAACTTAATTTGGTTATTTCCTAATTTAAATAATTTGCCTTCCTCAGTATATGTGATGTCATGTTATGTTATAATAAAACTATCATGTTCTACAGATATGTGAAGTGGGGCAAAAGTTGATTAACAAACTACTTTATTTGCTTACATTTCAGTGAAGTACACAAACGCACTCCGGTAGTGTAGTGTAATTTCATCTTTTTACAGACTGGCTCTTACCTCCATGTGTTGGCATCAGGGTCGTACACTTCTATAGTTTTGAGATACGTTGTCCCATCAAAGCCTCCAACTGCCATCAGCTGACCATTCACCACAGCCAAGCCCACCTACAGAAGCACTCAATTAAATCTTAGCCTCAGACACAGATTAAAGCCACGATCTCCTTTTACAGATTAAATGCTGTCTATCTAGTTATTGACATGTGTTTGAAGCAGTAACTACAACTATGCAAAAACAAACCTCATATTTCAACCAAACAAAACCCCAGAGCGCACACTCACCCCGCTCCGTCTGGACGTCATGGCCACCACAGGAGACCACTGGTTGGTCCGGGGGTTGTACCGCTCAGCACTGCTCAGCTCTGTGGTGTCGTCTCTCCCTCCAACAGAGTAAATCATGTCCTGGTAGACGGCACAGCCAAGGTGCTTCCTCCTGGTTCCCATGGGAGACACGGTGTGCCAGCGGTTCTCTTGAGGGTTGTAGCGTTCCACTGAAGAGGAGAGAAAGGAGGAAAAAAGGAAAATTATTACAGTGAACATGTTGACAATGCACATGTAGTGAACAGCCAGACCTTACTTGACTAGGGTGTGTATCGTGTATTGTTTTACGATAACTAAACTAACTAAGTACCAAAACAAGTACTTTTAAAGTGATACTGATACCAATAGAGTAATTCATTCGATACCTTGCGCTAAATGCCACCCTGTATTTTTATTGTTATGGACAAGCAAGGTGATCAATTTTCTTTTTTTCAATTAACTGTTACATAAAAATATTGGTTAATATTCTCCTCATCCTAATTAGGTCACCCTCACGGGTATTATTATACAGGGAAAGACTACTGCTTACAAGTTTTTTTGTAGGCATATTTGAGAGAGGAGGAGGGAAATAGTTTAGTGACCAAATGAGTTGTGGGAAACAAATTTAAGTTAATTTTTTGATACGTTTGTTGAAAGTAAACAGAATTATTTTAACTTTTGATCAATAAACTGAATTGAAAGATACCTGCGATTTGTTTTTCTGTTAGTGGTGAGTCGCAAACCCCAATAAAGACGAAAGTAAGGCCCCATCCACACTCCTGTGTTGTCAAATTAAAATGGAGACCTTTTGCTGTTTGCACCTCCCGTCTAGGCTAAAATGGCAAAAACGAAGACCTAAAATGGAGAAGTTCGAAACGCTGCCGACCCAGTTCTGCGTTTCGAAACTCCAGAGGGCTAAGTGAAGATGGGCCAAAACGGAGGACTTTAGAAACGATGATGCAGACGCTCACGCTCTGCTTTCTGATTGGGTCTTATAAGTCATGCAAAGCAGAAACACGATGCTGACAGAGTTTTAGTTTTGGTATTTTTATTAAAATATTCTGTACCGTGCAAATAACACTTAGGCCTATCTGCCTACACTTGTAGGCTACTTTGCATGTCGCCGTTTACTTTACGACTCCCAGTCCGTTTTCCCGCCACCACAGTCCCGTGTCACATTCAGTAACAGTCCCAGCTCGTCATTGGTGCATACAAAAAAAATAAATCTGGTCTGATTCTTCGTCTGCATTTCTTTATTCTTTCGCCAAATCTTCTGTAACTACGGAATAGACCATCTGCTTTATGTTTACACTGGCACGCGCATGCCCAGTGTATCTGAACGGGCACTAGATGTGTCGGTTTAATGTAGACGGGGATCACCTCTGATGCGCAGCTAAAACGTTGGTGTGGACGGAGATCATATTGGTTTTAATTCTCCATTTGTAAACTAAAACGAAGTAGTGTGGATGGGGCCTAAGAAGTAGAAAACGAGTAAGGAGTCTGTTTAAACAAGTCACTAAACTACACTAAAGAGTCTAAAGAAGAGTAAAATAGAGGCTAGGACTCCGGCCGATCACTACATCTGAAGCAGCCGGAGCTGCAGTTGGAGCATCCGTGAGTAAAATCAGTTGATCGCTGTTGTGAATAGCAAATTAAAATGTAGAGAGTAGTCTTAAATGATACCAGAAGATGAAACCAATGGAAAGCCAAGCTTGTGGTGATAAACTTGCAACAGTTGCTGTTAAAATCAGCATGGACTCTTGGACATGGACCAATTTTTTAAATAGAGTTTATGGTGCAGGCACATAAGAAAAAAAAAAAAGACAGGTTCCCTAATTTTTTGCCGCGATATGGTTACAAAAATTATCGAATAAAGTACTGGTTGGACTGGAGACGTTTCGCTTGTACTCGGGCTGTTTCGGCCGATACCATAAAGGTATCGAGTAGCGATACCCATCCCTAGTAGTGTCCTTATACTGCACTTTAAGCCAGATTAACTATTCCAACAATAAAACTGCCTTTTTCCTAACTAATCCCACTGTGTTACAGTTTTGAATGGATGGTCCCACCCTGCATTACATCTCACATGGAATTAAGGAAGCTTAATTGTATGAAAACTCTTGCACTGCCTTCTCCTAGAGTAGCAGAACATGATGATACCTTTTCTCTGATTCCTTCTTGTTGAAGTTCTGGGTTCAGTTAAGATTGTACTCCTCACATGACTCAGTACCGTACCCGTATTTAGTGGTGATGTTCCATCAGACCCTCCTACAGCGTACAGGAACCCCCCCAGCACAGCCACAGCTACACCCAGTCGCCTGGTGCTCATGGAGGCCACACGAGTCCATTTGTTCTCCTTAGGATCATACCTAAAGCATAAGAACGATTCCATTTTATTGGACAGTGCTATTACATAGCCTTACATCACAAATTAAAGAATAAATATAGCAAGTTATACATCATGAAGCACTGTGTGTGTACAGGACACACATCAACCTCATGTACGACCTCAAGTTGTAGGCTGTAGTTTTTAATCTGTTGGTTTAATTTCATATCCAAAAAACCAACACTAGCATAGATGGTTACATGGACATTTTATCATTTTTGATAAAAACATTTATCAGTTTTGACAGACACCTTTCTACAATGTTGAGACAGGAAACGCCGTCCTGTCCCCCTACAGCATACAGATAACCACCGAGGACAGCCACTCCCACACTGGTACGACAAGTGCTCGTGGGGGCCACATCGCTGCTCCACTGATTTGTCTTTGGATCATATCTGGACAGGAGATAAATGAAACTTTGATTTTACTTCTCCATCTTTTTGCTGTAGTAATGTGGAAAGACAAAAGCATGAAAATCTCAAGACAACGCGTGAATTATCTTGCCACACCTCTCCACAGAGTTGAGGTACGACGAGCCATCATGACCTCCCACCGCATACAACAAGTCATCCAAAACACTGACACCGACTCCACATCGCCGTTTACTCATTGATGCCACCATTCGCCACTCGTTGGTCTGGGGATCGTAACGCTCCACGCTGGAAATAGCGTCACCGCTGCACCAACCGCCAACTACAAGACAAGAAGACATGGGGGAAGAGGCAAAGGAGAGAGAGAGAGTGCACAATATTAAATTAAGTCATTTATGATCCTCTGCACTGGCATTGGTGTCTACATACAGGGCTCCTGCACATTTTCCATTTTAGAATTCCACTCAAAATGAAATTTCAAGATTTCTCTGAAGCTATTATTTAGAGAATAAAAAAATATTTTGAAATATTTTTTCTGAACTACAGGTCAGAGGAAAGACACCACACTGCAGTCCAAACTTTTTACAAGTCTAAATGACTGGAGACTCCCGAGAAATACTAACACATGCAGATATGACTGGAAGCAAGTTATTCAAAGCATTACAACTTTTTCTCCCCTATATAAAGATTTAATTCTCAAAGCCTCAGATTACTATTATGTTTTGGCCCTAATACCGTCGTAGTTGACAGACTACAATTCTGCCATTTGGTTTGTTATTATTTCGCTTATTTTCAGCTGACTGTTTACTGTTTGTGTACCAAATACACTAACTAGACACTGACAGTCAAACATGGTTAAGATTTTATTTTTTGATCTGTTATTATTATTGCTAGGGACAACTCAGTATTTGCTGGATATTGGTGCTTCTTCCAAGGCCCTTGGAATTTTACATAGAAAACAAAATAGGGGCAATAGTCTGGAAACAAACATTTTTCCATACTTTCTTGTCTTTTTTCCCATTCTTATCCAAACCTAGAAATTACTCAAATCAAATTCCATGCTTTTTCATACTGCGCAGGAACCATGTATACACTAGACTAGTACATACATCTACAAATCTGATGCAAAGGAAAACCTGGGGTGTTTCTCAAAACCAAGAATGCAAAGAATGGACGTTCTTGCTAGTCGTTCTTGGAAGAATGAACTTGCAATGTCACAAGCACACAAAACGCTGCTGGCAGTTTGAGACCATGCATTCTTGCTGGTATTGCGCAATACGTCCAGCACAGAGGCCGCCTGCATTGCAACAGCCAGGCTTTCTCCCCAAAACTAAAAGCTCAGAATCAGGTTTATTGTAGGTTTTAACTTACCAAGATCTATCTGCACATAAAAAAAAATTATATAAAGCACAACTCTACTGTACACTAGCAATGTAATGTCTAATATAATAATAATATTAAAGGAGACCTATTATGCTTTTCCACATTTTATGACTTATCTACAACAATGTTGGATGTTCATGTTAAACATGAGGCATTTATAAGAAATCACTGTGAGCAAAAACCTCAGGTTTCCTCCTGTTCTGAAAGCTCTGTTTTGAACTGCTTTTTCTACCAAGGGCTCCGTTCTATGTATTACCGAGCCAGACGGTGTTCCATATAGGGTCATGTGCTCCCACACTAAGGCATGGCAATGCTCAGTCTGCCTGTTCTGCAACAACAGCCTAGCCTGGTAACATGCTTCAGGTCTTGGCCAATGAGACAGTGGGCTTTGAGAGGGGGGGCCATAAAGAGACAGGAGCATCTACCGCCTGTTCAGACAGACAGACTGAAATGAAGCCCTACACGAAGAGTCAGTATAAGAAAATAAAATATTTATTTATTTAATATAAACTTTGAGTCATGCAAAGCTGCCATACAGGAGTCACAGGACTACAATATAGGTCTGGAAAAGCAGTTGAATAGGTCTCCTTTAACAATAACAATAATAATAATAATAATGCAAAGACAGTCGCCTTTTATACGATTTCTGATAATTTTTTCCGAAGTTTCACAAGCCCTGATTTTTTGTATATCACCATTTTTCTGTACATCATCAAGACGTCTCTTGATTTAAGTTAAAATCTTACAAAATTACTCACAATGTAATGACAGAATAGCGGTACGAACGTTAAAACTATCATACAGCTGTTGGTCTTTAATCTGCTGTTGTTGTCATAACTCCGAAAATGTTTGAGCACATTTTAGATTTGCCATCATTTTTAGTAAAACTGCCAATATTCGACATCTACACAGCTGATTTCTCACCTCAAACCTTCTCAGAAGTGGATTAAGTGATGAAATAGCGTACGAAAATAGTACAAAACGTTCTGTTGTTGGCCTCTCTCTCAGCTTCTTTCAGCCCCTCGCTTGAGTGCCGACCTGAATGCTGGGATATCTCTGCCGTCAAGTTCACACAAGTTACCAACCGATGCATCCTCAGTAAAATGGGTGTGTCAAGAACACTTCCAGGATTTTTAACTGTTCTTGTCAAAATGCAAACTTGTGTATTGGGACAGTACTTGGGCCACAAAAGATGATGTTTCACAAGAACACAAGTACAGACACAAACATAGATTGAGAAAGGCCCCTGGTATACAGTGAGGAAAATAAGTATTTGAACACCCTGTTATTTTGCAAGTTCTCCCACTTAGAAATCATGGAGGGGTCTGAAATTGTCATCGTAGGTGCATGTCCACTGTGAGAGACAATCCAAAAAATAATAATACAGAAATCACAATGTATGATTTTTTAACTATTTATTTGTATGATACAGCTGCAAATAAGTATTTGAACACCTGTCTATCAGCTAGAATTCTGACTCTCAAAGACCTGTTAGTCTGCCTTCAAAATGTCCACCTCCACTCCATTTATTATCCTAAATTAGATGCACCTGTTTGAGGTCGTTAGCTGCATAAAGACACCTGTCCACCCCATACAATCAGTAAGAATCCAACTACTAACATGGCCAAGACCAAAGAGCTGTCCAAAGACACTAGAGACAAAATTGTACACCTCCACAAGGCTGGAAAGGGCTACGGGGAAATTGCCAAGCAGCTTGGTGAAAAAAGGTCCACTGTTGGAGCAATCATTAGAAAATGGAAGAAGCTAAACATGACTGTCAATCTCCCTCGGACTGGGGCTCCATGCAAGATCTCACCTCGTGGGGTCTCAATGATCCTAAGAAAGGTGAGAAATCAGCCCAGAACTACACGGGAGGAGCTGGTCAATGACCTGAAAAGAGCTGGGACCACCGTTTCCAAGGTTACCGTTGGTAATACACTAAGACGTCATGGTTTGAAATCACGCATGGCACGGAAGGTTCCCCTGCTTAAACCAGCACATGTCAAGGCCCGTCTTCAGTTTGCCAATGACCATTTGGATGATCCAGAGGAGTCATGGGAGAAAGTCATGTGGTCAGATGAGACCAAAATAGAACTTTTTGGTCATAATTCCACTAACCGTGTTTGGAGGAAGAAGGATGATGAGTACCATCCCAAGAACACCACCCCTACTGTGAAGCATGGGGGTGGTAGCATCATGCTTTGGGGGTGTTTTTCTGCACATGGGACAGGGCGACTGCACTGTATTAAGGAGAGGATGACCGGGGCCATGTATTGCGAGATTTTGGGGAACAACCTCCTTCCCTCAGTTAGTGCATTGAAGATGGGTCGAGGCTGGGTCTTCCAACATGACAATGGCCTGAAGCACACAGCCAGGATAATCAAGGAGTGGCTCTGTAAGAAGCATATCAAGGTTCTGGCGTGGCCTAGCCAGTCTCCAGACCTAAACCCAATAGAGAATCTTTGGAGGGAGCTCAAACTCCGTGTTTCTCAGAGACAGCCCAGAAACCTGACTGATCTAGAGAAGATCTGTGTGGAGGAGTGGGCCAAAATCCCTCCTGCAGTGTGTGCAAACCTGGTGAAAAACTACAGGAAACGTTTGACCTCTGTAATTGCAAACAAAGGCTACTGTACCAAATATTAACATTGATTTTCTCAGGTGTTCAAATACTTATTTGCAGCTGTATCATACAAATAAATAGTTAAAAAATCATGCATTGTGATTTCTGGATTATTTTTTTTTAGATTATGTCTCTCACAGTGGACATGCACCTACGATGACAATTTCAGACCCCTCCATGATTTCTAAGTGGGAGAACTTGCAAAATAGCAGGGTGTTCAAATACTTATTTTCCTCACTGTAAATGTATTGCCTAAAAAGGTACTGACCTGCAAAGAGCACCTCTCCACAGCGGATGGGTTTCCTTGGCCGGGTTCTGGGGCCCTGCATCAGCGGCCTCTCCTGTGGTAGCAGCAGGTAATTCTTAGCCTCATCAACCAGGTCTCTAAGACAAAAACAAAATAAGTATATGATAAACACAATGTCAATCATAAATGAAGGTGACATATTGTTACTGAATGATCATTGTATAAAATTGAGGTAGCTGTTTCTCCTCTCTGTATTTTTCAATCTCAACTTCAAAATTTCATAAATGTGTTGTCTGGCAATTTAAAGAAATCCACCATCGTCCTGGATCCAGATCAGCACCAGCAGTATTTTCCCAAAAAAACATTCAAATTGTTGACAAACAACACCCACCTGCACTCTTCGTCACTTTTAATGAGAGGGTCTGACCCAACGGTGCCCACTAGGAACTTGGGGCTTAGCAGTGGTAGACGCACATGCTGCAGGACCTACAGAACACATGAAATCCATGTCAGTCCTGAAGTGTTCTTCTGCAGTAGAACAACTACAACAGAAGTCTGAAGTAATGTTGAGGGTATATGGCTGGATTGTACACTAATAACCATACTGGTAACAGAACAACTAACTGTTGTGGTAGGATATTTCTGCAGCCACAAACCTGCGGTAGCTGTGGTCTGCGTTCCTGGATGCTGTATTTCACCCAGGCCATCACAGCGTTGAAAACCTGCTCCTCGCTTCGAACATTGAGCTCATCGCTGGAAATGATGTCAATCAACTGGTTGGCAGGTAGCAGCATGAACTCTTCACTTTCCATTACCTAGGACAAAACAGCAGAACAGTGAGTCAGCAGCTCTGACACAAAGAGAAAACATTACAATTAAATACTCCAGATTTCCCTTTTAAGATACCGTTACTGTCTGGGATTTTTATTTAAAAATTATTAATATCGTCTTTGAGAAGTTTTTTTTTTTTTTTTTTTTTTAAATAAGCTCATCCTGAGCTTCAAAATACAACAAAATACTACAAATACTACAAAATCTTGAATTTTGAAAATCAGAAATGACTTTGTGTCTATGTACAGAAACACACACACACACACACACACACACACGAGTACGTTAGCGCAGTATCAACAAATAACTGACTTAGTCGTTTTTCTGGCAATAGTCACACCGTTTACTGGAGTGGATAATATCGCAATGGCAACACCTTTACAACCAAAAACCTCCAATGTGTTAAACCTTTACTCTTAACTCTGCCAAAAGGCTTGTGAATTGCATCACTTGCAAAGCTGACCTTATATGGCACAGGAGCACATCAGAGCATCTGAAAAGGAGGCATGTTTGGCTCTCTGAATGATTAATTCAGCACGGACCGGGCAGGATGATCGAATTTCGTGCAAAATGCAAAAGAGAAATCCATGAACGATCCTAGTATTTTGTCACCCTATGCACGCCACACGCCTCTGTGAAGCTAGGAGGCTCAGCCAGAACATCAAACCAACCATTTTTATCCACATGAAAACCACATTAAATACCAAGCATCTAAATGAACTTATATCACAACATAAACAGTTCTTTAATCACTGTACATGGCTGCATTTATTGCCTTCCAGATATCTCTCATCGCATCCTACACCGCAGTCCGACCACTCTAAAGAAAGCTCAGCTCCAGCTCTGATCAGCTCATGTCACTCAAATCACAAAAATCACAGAGTTATTAGCTGAATAACAATAACAACAAGACACACAAATCTATTTTTACAGTTACAACTGCTGGCTGACTTTTACCGTTTTCACTGTTTTCAGTCCAGCTCAAGACAAAGAGAAAGAACCCACTTACAGGATGTTCTGTTCTCAACTTGTGTGCTTGTAAAGCATGGGAGTGCTTTTGGCCACAGGAATGTTGATGTCACTGTTTTATCAATATTTCAATGTTTTGGAAGCTTTAAATTATTTGGAACGTGGTTGTATGGACAGAAATAGTGTTTTGAAGAAAACTCCCAATAAAAGTGAACCTATAAGCAGTAAATATGGCCAAAACAAGGACATTCGCCTGGTATATTTTTGAAAAATTGTCTAATAACTGTTGTATATTAGTTTCTTTTCATCAAATTTACAGTTGTATTCCATGTGTATTAGAAGATATTCAGTTGCATTATAATCAGTTGGATGATGGTTTTGATGGTGATTTTATACCAGGCAAGGATGAAAATATCATATTTTCCTTTATTGCATCTCCATTTACTCTTTAATAGAAAAATAAATAGGTTCAGTTGATTTATATTCCTTAGTTTCCGACCTTTCAAATGAGACCAGAATTATGCATCTAGGTCTAATGGATGAGGAGTTATTACTGAGTTATTTGGGGTGTTATTTTAGGCATTTCTCCTGGAAATAGGTTTCTGTTTCCAAAAGGTTAAGACTCGTCTCGGTAAGCTGGTGGGCTAGCAAGCCATCTTAATGTTGAAAGCTCGGATAGCCTCACGTTATGAGCTAGATTTTTTCTTGATCAATGAATTATTAATGGAGTTGAGATTAGCAAATAATTATCATACCCAACTATCCTGTTCACATTTCACAAATGTGCCCTAACTTTACAATCTTAAACACTGCATCATTCAAGGTGACAGTTCAGTGTTTGGAGAATGTGTTACTGCCGAGTGCACACGTTTAGAGAACACAGGAAAAAGTCATACTTTATGAAACGCAAAAGACTCCTGTCCTTATGTGCGTGCCCAATGTGGTGTGTTGTATAAGAGGGATAGTTCACTAAAAGATGTATTTTTGAATGAAGTATGCGTCTTTATTGTTAGTTAGCACAAGCCATAACAACCTCACCAAATCCATAGATCATTAGACATCATCAAAATAGTACGAAACTAAGGTGATGCATTTTACAACCAGTCATCAATCTGCCTCCTCTATCATCACACATCTTATATTGCAATTTTCACACATGACTTTTGAAATTGAAAACAACTCATTACGGCCAGTTCCAGGCCGATGACATTGCTATGACAAGTCATGAAAAGGGACTATTAGACCTCTCAGGCTGAAGTCGGGCCGAGCTATGCTGGAAAGTGTGCAATGTTATGTTAAAGGTTACTAATTAAGAAGGCTCACAAAAGGTGTACGTTGTCACACCATGATGTGTGTCACAAAACAAATAGCAAGATGAGGGAGATAATAGTTGCAGTCTGTGAACACCAACACAGTCCTGAGAAGAAGTCTAGACGTCATTGTCTTGTTGAGTTACTGATTATGTAACCGTTTAATCTAAAGGTATATGCACAAATGTACTATTTTGCATCAGTTTGGATCTTATAATTTAGATGATGCAAAATGTAAATCCTTACTTTGCGTATTTAAAATCAAGCATATAGAATTAGTATAAATGTTTTATGGATGTTAACAGTCAATGGGAATACTCAACAGATTCTGCCAAGAGAAGAGCATCAAGAAATCCCATTTACAGGACCATTCTATGTGACTGTTTCACTGTCCATCCATCTGTCAGTCAACTTGGTTGTCACTTCACACAAATGTTTAGTTTGTCAGAAATGTCATAAACTTCTCTATTTTCACCTTAGGCAGCAAAGACACAATGTCAGATGCAAGACAAGATGACAGCCCATGTGTCAGTTGCTGTGCAGCCCAGACAAGTCAACAGCGTGAAGCCTGTTTCCCCTTTCTATTCACTTACAAGCTGCAAACCAACCTTTTTTTTATGCCCGTCTAAATTAAAATCTCTGGATAAAGAATTACTGGAGAAGGATTCTGAAGGTTCTCAAATATTTTTATGCTTATCATTATTAATATCATATAACTAACTTCACAAAGCAAGATGTCTGTATAAACACATTCACATACAAAGTGAAACTAAAACAGAAGAGTGTCCCATCACCTTTTTCTTTACTGCATTCATTTATTCTAAAAAGCAACGTACTGTGAAGGTACAAACCCTCATCTTCTGTGCTATATTAGCATGAATCGCACCTCACGTCTCCAACGGACATTTATTATCATGAATCAACAGACTGGCTTTGTTTCTATGTTTACAATCCCCTGTGAAACTAAATCGCCACACAAACACCTTTATTTGTTATTGTATGAACACATCCTGAGCATGTGACACGACTTTCAGCTGATGACAGACACATGCTTGGTTCCACATGCTTTCCATAAGAAACAGTTACTACCTTGCATGCAAGGATCTGTGTAATTGCTAATTTTCCAGGAGAGTTTTAAACTATGACAAAGACCAAAGACAAAGAATGTATAGCTCCAATATACAGTAATAACTCATAGTTGTGTGCTGTGTTTCTTTATATCCAAAATCAACAAATAAAAGTGACTAAAACTGAAAAATGTGGGTCTAGTTTGCTTGGATAGCTTTAAACATCAAGTGTAAAAAAACAGACACATGTGAATGGTCAGAAACAACCTGTGTGGAGAGCGTTTCTTTTTCTGCAGCTTCCATCTAAACTCACCTGTCACATTTTTCTAACATTCAGTGCAACATGTGACTTTTAGGAATTGTAGGGGAGTGTGGACAGGTATGTATCGATGTTCTTACCTCCTGAAAATTGTGCTGGGTGAACTTGTCCGCAATGCGGAGCAGCTCGCGGCAGGAGTGTGTGTCTGCGAAGGCCCTGATGCCCAGACAGTTGGAGGGATCGAGCTGCCTCTTGAGGAACTCGCAGCAGGCCTCCTGAATCTCAGCCAGCTGGAGAAGACAGGCTGCGGGAAGCAGCGTCTGGACATTTCCCTCCTCTACAGTCACCTAGGAGAAGGGAGGTCAGGACATTAGAGACTCTTCACATATACAGCAGTCGTTTTATGTGCACGTGTTCTCGGGCAGACTTCACTCAGTTAAAAAAAATTGGTAGAGTATTAAGTTACATTACAAGACATTTTACACACGGACCAGGTAAAGCAGCAGTGAACACACAGGGTGCAGATGTTGGTTTCAGTTGTTTGATGCCGTGATAATGGATCTTGGGTGGAAATATACGGAAAAAAGACTAGTTCTCAGTCTTTTAGGAGACTTTATAAAACATACTGCTGATGGAGAAAATGGAGAAGAGAATTCCGAGGCAGGTGCAAAGCATACTTAAAAACAATAATAAGAATGTTCGTGGTCATTAAAAGCTGCTTTCACAGGGAAATATAAAGTGAAAATTTGAGATTATTTTTTGCTGTGGGGGCCGGGGTTTTACAATCACGTCCCTCACTCATCGTCCCAACCCTAATGGTTACGCATATCAGTAGTGATGCATGGCATTGTATGACCATAAATGTTACTGTAAACAACACAATCACCTATCCCTAATGCCACATATCAATGAAACACTGTTCACTACCACTGTTGTTACCTGTGAGGTGTAGGCAAAGTCAATGAGCAGCTCCATGGCTCTCTCATCGATGTCACGGATAACCACTTCAGTCTGCCTGCTCTCTGCCAGCTCTCCAGTGAACATCGCCCTGAAGAGAACATGGGAACAAAGAGATGTTATTGTTACAGCCAGCACTGCAAGTACTCCACCTGCGCTTTGATGTTAATTCATTAGCTAATGGATTCATCTCCAGAGGTGAGTTGAACACAGTGTTTGTCTCTTTGTACCTGAAGTAGGGGCTGCAGGCGGACAGGATCACACGGTGAGCATAAATCTTCTTGGCACCCACCACCAGCACCACGTCACAAAGCTCACGGTGTTTTCGCAACAGGTTGATCACCTCCAGGGTCTGTCGTGGGTGTTTGTCCGAGACATACGGCATGCGTGCAGGCTGGGGGACCCCTTCAGGGAGCTTGTTGGGGTCCCCCAGAGTACAGCGGCTGGTGATGTCCATTCCAGTGGCGTCTTGGCGTGCGCTGGTGGCCCTAAAGGTGAACCAAATGAGAAATATTAATATTTCCTTGGTTTTCACGTGTCACATCTTAAAACCTTGTCTTGTTCAGCTCCGCAGTCATGTTGTTAATTTAACACTAACATTGTAAACAAATGTGAGCTTTTATAAACAGGGCTTTGATGCAGTGTTTGCAAATATTTGCATATCATGTTATAGGCCACAAATTACTTAAGTGCTGAAGGAAAGCATTAACTTTTCTTGCTCTCTTTGCTTTTAAGAGACTTACATCTTTTATTATTGCTCTCTTTTTTTATATAATTGTACTTTTTAAACAGTTTATTTTAAAATGTTTTGATTTATAATATTTCTAGTCATCTCTTATCAATTTGTGCAGCACTTTAAGCTGAATTTTGTATATAAATGGTCCTGTGTAAATAAAGTTCAATATTCAATTCTTTGTAAACATGATTCAAAGTTGCCGTAGTCTCTTTCTCTGATCAGCAGGCACATGTCACAAATTGAATATCTGAATATTGACAAATCTCATTGCTTAGTTATAATTACACCCTTTTCACACCAAGAAATGTGGGAAAACCTGCTAAAAATATGCAATTGACTGCTTTCACATTCACAGAGTTTACTTTTTCAGTTTCGATGTCATGCCGCTACCAGACGACAGGTTAGTTGAATGTTCATGTCTTAAAAAGCTTTGACAATATTTAAAGACCCATGACAAAAGTAAAGACACCAGGGTCCTCACTTTCATAGTCTTCCACTGGTTTTCATATTATAATTTCACACAAGAAGAAGGAGCACGCACACACACACACACACACACACACAGTATACATATATATTTAATAAATTGTTAATAAACTGTGTTACTTAAAACATTTTTCACTGCGCTCTGTGGAAAACAAGCTGATCACAATAACCAACAATAGATTCTATGTTTTTTATGTCTCTGCACATTATTTTTCTGTATTATTTTATTATTTTACTTTCAAGCAAATTCCTCATCCATGTAAAATACTACTTGTCAATAAAGCTCTTTCTGATTCTGATGTCTCCAAAAGAGAGAATGTGTTATGAATGTGAATATGTTGCCTGACACACACACACATACACGATCAGGAGCAATTTGGGTTGCAGTATCTTGCTCAAGGACACTTGCAGAATGGAGGAGCCAGGGATCAAACCACCGACCTTCTGATTAGCGGACGACCCGCTCTAGCTCCTGAGCCACAGCCGCCCACAAGCTTCCCACTGTATATATACAATGTTGTTAAGAATACTTAATAGAACGGGATCAGTATAGGTCGACGTTGCTTCCAGCAAATCCTGACCTGAGCACCCTTACTGTGCTCTGTATCTTTTCTTTTTGTTTTACACAGCAAAGTCATATTCACATTACATATTAATTTCACAGCAAGGAGCATGCCTGTGTCCTGCTGACTTAATGTGTAGGATATAGTGTATTAAATATACAAACTACAGGGAGTCTCGTTCCAAACGGTCAGGCTACTTTATTCAAAACTGTCATGGTAGATATTTGTGAGCTACTTACTAAATCAGCACAGAATTCTCCAACAAATCTCTCTCTCGGGTTCCTGTCCATTCTCCTTAGAGCAGATTGACCAAGAGAATCGATTAAGTGCAATTTTTTTGTTTTGTGTTGTGGACCTGCATTTGGTGGGTCCCCTAATTGCAAAGGCAACATTTTATTTACAGCATGTGTGTTTCTCAGACAATTAAAAGAATTAAAGGAACTCCTGCTCAACATCACCCCTCCACCCAACTCTCCATTGGGCCATTAACCTGTGAGAGAACAGATACTGCACATGTCTTAAATGAAAGGTTTAGCAAAGCAAAAAGGCCGTGGTCAGATGCACCCAGTCCTCTGGAGGCTGGGAGGCGGGGAGAACTCTGGGTAGAACCCCCAATGACTAGTCTTTGACCCAGGGCAAACTGTGTATAGCAGGGATTTGTCTGCCTTGTAGACAAGCTTATGTGGTGACATAACAGGACGGGTGCCACCGAGTCATGGGAGGTTCACAAAAGGTCTCTAAGTAAGACTCATTCTGAAACAATTTCACTGCTATAGTGAATAGTTGAACATTTTTTCTTCTTCAGTACAAAACCTTTTTCAGCCTACATGGACATTCATCGCCTGTCATGGTAGTGACATTAAATATAAGGTTTGATTAAAAGCCATTCTTGTTTAAGTTTAGTCTGAAGAGAGTCTGGAAATAATATCCACAGCATTTTCATTCAGAGAAAGATTCATATACACATTCCTTCAAACTTTAATACCACACCTACCTGCGCATTGGTTTTGCGTCCATGCACTGAAAAACAATATCCGGTTTCACACCTTGAAATTGACCTACAAAGACAAGAAAACTAATCAGATTCTTTGTGAACAGTCTGTCCTCACCACAAACGTAACAGAAGTTTAGCTTCTGCCTGTACATGCAGGCAGTGTTTGCCAGAGAGCCGCTTTCACAATTTCCCTATATTACATTTTGTCATTGGCATCTACTTTAATGTGTCCTTTTCGAAAGCATGCTGACAAAAAAGCTACAACATACTCTTGTGAGGGCACAACCCTTTCTTGCCACCTTCCGACTTTGATTTGTAGCCATGTCTCCAAGCAAGACTGGGATCAGAAAGATGTGTTTGCTTACACTGAGTCACCAGTTTATTAGAAACACCACACAACACTGCAAACAAATGTTTAATTAACTCTGTGGTTTTTTGGAGACCATAATTATTTAGTTACGTGTCTGTTACCATGACATGTGTAAATGGGGTTGGACATATTGTAAAACAATGACCATATAGTATATAGAATCTACACTTGTCATGTGCAAGATCAATATACACTTCAAGCTCCACAAAGGTAGTATTTATTTGCAAGGTAATTGTATTGAGCTGAAATACACATTTTACAATTGTGGCCATAGTTCTGGTAACTTGATGTGTTTGCTAGTTACACATTAAGGTTTGAAATAAGACGGCAGTGATTCATTTTATTGTTATTATTAACACTATGGAGTAGTATTCCCATACAACCTATCAGTGTGCTTTATCTTAGGGTATTCAATGAGGTTAAGAGAATGAATAGAATAAATCATAAATGGGTTAATTACAGACCTATTTTTTTATCAGAATATTATAATATCCTGTTTCACAAGATCACCAAGACAGCGGCTGAGATGTTCACTTACTTTTATATACCAATACAAATACAGTAATATATAACATGATGTCAGTCCTATCACTTCATATAACGTAAATACACGCTGGCTCGCTGAGGGTTATTTGTTTCAAGCTGCATTCTTCGCAAGATTTAACAAGCAGTTTCAGCAGATACACATTTCGCGAGGCGAAGTCAGCTAACAACAGTTAGCTAGTTAGCTAATCGCAATTTCCAACATTGTGCTAAGAATTAAGATTCTAGTGTTGATAGTTATTTCTGGTAGAACAGACTTAGCTAAATATACGGAATGTCTGCCTGAATGTCTGGGACATATTTTATCCGCGCAGAACTAAATCAATAAACTAGCAAATTAACTAAATCAGTAAACTAACGTTAGTTAATGAGTTTAACGTTAAGAGCATTTTCCGAGGACGTCTGGGAATGCTAACTTATGTGCTATCGCTAGCACAGTTGCAGGGAATCCACAGGCGTTACATTTTAACGTTAAAATGAATCTAAACAATCAAAAAAGGAAATATAACAACAAGTGAGGACATCCACTAACATGTTTAGGGTCTCAGGAGCCGCGTGAGAGTCTCTCTCAGCAGCGGGTCAAAACACACGGACTGGATGTTATTAACTGTAACTTCATGCTAACGTTTACTAAGTTAATGTGTTTACATTGTTAACAGTGCCAATTAACTGACAACAAAATAAATGTTTAAGACGGTTTTACCTTATATTTCCATCCCAACGACACAGAGAAGTCACCCTGGTTGCTAATGTTTACAATTTAATGCTGTCGGTTAAACGCTGGTGCTTCTTCTTCCTTGGTGTTATTATGCGCATGCCAAACGCCAAGCGCCACTTCCGGACTGTGGGTTTTCAAAATAAAAGCATTGGATTACGTCATTGCAAAGATGCAGAAAAAGTCCCGGACAGTCTTCAATTACGTCCTGTCCTGTTTGTCCCTAAAATTAGTCTAAAGCTGTATTTTTATTAGTTATAGCCTTTTAAAACTTTAATTCAGGATCCCTGTAACAAAATATTTTGGTGTTGACCACAGATGGCAAGGCAAGGAAATTATTAGGCCTGTAGAACATTTCAACAACAAGGTAATTCAAAGTGCTTTACATAACTACAGCAGGGAAATATAAAAAAGTTTTAAAAGTTGAATAGAAAATAAAAACAGTCAGGTCTCCCACCTTTGCTTATTTTACTGCTTTGATTCCCCATCTCCAACTCTGTCCCCCCTTTAGCTACTTAGGGAATCTAACCCTACTTTAGAGACAGTCATCACTGTAAATCCAGATTGTCCATGTTACAAACTCTGGTAAAAACAACTTACTTCGGGAACTATTCTGGCCAGGGCCTTAACCAGGGTTTAGAAATAAGTGAGGTCCAGATTTTTTGTTGTTTATTTACGGTAAATCATATCAAAAATTACACCTAAACACAACATAGCCTATACAATACAGTCACACAAACAAGTGATCTATAATGAAACAGATACAAAGGGACCTGTTGGCAAAATATAGGCTAGGTAAATTTATTAAAGCTGTTTTTTTCTTCTTTGTGTGTGTGTGTGTGTGTGCACCAGCTGAATTGCCGTGATGCCCCCTGCCAAACTTATTATTTGCGAGGACATTTTTACCCCAGCAACCGGTCCCTAGCTGTCCAGCTGATTTCTTTATTGATCGTGCTTTCCCCAAGTCTGGACGCTGATGGGGAACAGTTTTTCAAGTTGAAATAATCACCTGTGTCTGCATGGTCCTAAAGCCTTTGTTGAAGTTGGTCACGTTATTAATTATTATTATTAAATATTTTATCAATCTTTTGGTGACCTCATAGCTGGCCACGATCCCGACTCTCTATTGGCTACAGTAGGGGCTGCAGGGTATATCAAGGACAGTGTGTCAAGTTAGTGTTGTTATAGCCACAAAGTAACAGGCATGCATTGTCTTTTGCCCTTTTGTTTTCTAGTGTAGGCCTAGATAAAGATAGTTGAAGTTGCAGGGACAAGGAAAGTGTAGCTGCAGTCAGCCACAGATAAGAAGCATAATTAGGCCCACATATTGAGGAGAGTAAGAAGGTATATAAAATGTGAATTAATGTAATATGGAACCTCATACTCACATGTACTCTGTATTGGATCTTCAGTAAGCTTTCATTGCATGGGACTCTGGGAATGGGAATTTAAAGTGTTTGAGAGGACCAACAGATATTTGACCAGGCTGAGGGTTTCTCTCCAATACCCACAATATAAACAATTCACAGAAAAGGAAACACTGGTCAAGGGAAGAAACTTTAGCAGAGGCAATTCAAAGAGAGACCCCTCGTTTCTCTGATGGCTAGGTGTACAATTGGTGCCACAGGTTTGGGGGATAAAGGAACCATGAACTTTATTTTCCAATATCTTAAACAACTAATGTTAAAGTCTAAGGTATCTATTTCCAGTGTGCAGTCCATCCATGGCTTCTAGGAGCATCTAACATTTTCGATCAAAGGACACATTTACACATTGTGTTGCTTTTTGTCTGTGCTTAACAAATGCTTTACTGAAAAGCATCTTAAGAAGAATTGCTTATCAAAATTTAGACAAGTGGATGTCTGGGGAACAACAGTCTTGGGCACTTCAAGTGAAAAACTAGTCTAAATTTCAGTGGTAATATCATCATTATAACCAAGATCCAATAGATAATTACGCAACTGGATGTCTTCTCCTGCTCCTTGACTACAACCAAGTGTAAATTTGACTAAAATACAAATTCTTTGATACAATTTAAAATATAGTCAGGCAGTCTCCATGTGATGGCCAAGTTTACTATCTACATGTTGACTGTTTTACTTCATAACACTATTTCCAGATAGCCATGTTATGAATAACACACTTTACATCTCTATATTAATAAACACAATGAATAATGATCAATAAGAGCTCCATGTTATACAGGCAGATAAACTGAGAATAAAAGGCCCTACAGTAGTGATGTGTGGGATATTTAAAGTCAGTGCAATAGAAAAGCGTAAGGCTCGTTGGTGTCAGTACTAGCAGTCAGCCACTAGATGTAGACAAAGACCATGTGTTTGAATGGAAAGTTGCACTAAAACCTACTGCTATTGCAAAAGCTAAGACACTTGTAGATGATCAGGGACACCCCCTTGCCTCTTCATTTGAATGGTTGTCTTATGGATGATGATACTGTGCTCCTCCGTTTATAAAAACAGATCCAAGTTTTCCCTTGCTCCACAAGGCAGGCCATTTAATTTATTAATAAATGTATTAATAATAATAATAATAATAATAATAATAAGGTATAGTCATGAGTGTCCATATATCTATCTATCTATCTGTCAGTGTATGTTTGAAATTGTGTTCATTGGCGTTTGTTTTTCTTGTCTTTTGCTGCCAAATGCCATGTAATTTTTTCTGAAACCTAATTTCTCCATGGGGACAACAAACAAACAATTCATAATTGTAAATGGGACCCTATGAAATCAGTTTTATTTTTTCCAGATTCCAATTTATTTTCCCCCAAATTCTCTGTTTTCTGAATGTTTCTGAATTTTGTTTTTTACAATTTAAGCAGAAAGAGTGTGTAGTTATGTGGTGGATGAACACAATTTCAACAATTCAAAAAAGAAAACATTAAAAATCTAATCAATATCACTGAATTTGATGTATCACACATACAGTGAGGAAAATAAGTATTTGAACACCCTGCTATTTTGCAAGTTCTCCCACTTAGAAATCATGGAGGGGTCTGAAATTGTCATCGTAGGTGCATGTCCACTGTGAGAGACATAATCTAAAAAAAATAATCCAGAAATCACAATGCATGATTTTTTAACTATTTATTTGTATGATACAGCTGCAAATAAGTATTTGAACACCTGAGAAAATCAATGTTAATATTTGGTACAGTAGCCTTTGTTTGCAATTACAGAGGTCAAACGTTTCCTGTAGTTTTTCACCAGGTTTGCACACACTGCAGGAGGGATTTTGGCCCACTCCTCCACACAGATCTTCTCTAGATCAGTCAGGTTTCTGGGCTGTCGCTGAGAAACACGGAGTTTGAGCTCCCTCCAAAGATTCTCTATTGGGTTTAGGTCTGGAGACTGGCTAGGCCACGCCAGAACCTTGATATGCTTCTTACAGAGCCACTCCTTGATTATCCTGGCTGTGTGCTTCAGGCCATTGTCATGTTGGAAGACCCAGCCTCGACCCATCTTCAATGCACTAACTGAGGGAAGGAGGTTGTTCCCCAAAATCTCGCAATACATGGCCCCGGTCATCCTCTCCTTAATACAGTGCAGTCGCCCTGTCCCATGTGCAGAAAAACACCCCCAAAGCATGATGCTACCACCCCCATGCTTCACAGTAGGGATGGTGTTCTTGGGATGGTACTCATCATTCTTCTTCTTCCAAACACGGTTAGTGGAATTATGACCAAAAAGTTCTATTTTGGTCTCATCTGACCACATGACTTTCTCCCATGACTCCTCTGGATCATCCAAATGGTCATTGGCAAACTGAAGACGGGCCTTGACATGTGCTGGTTTAAGCAGGGGAACCTTCCGTGCCATGCATGATTTAAAACCATGACGTCTTAGTGTATTACCAACAGTAACCTTGGAAACGGTGGTCCCAGCTCTTTTCAGGTCATTGACCAGCTCCTCCCGTGTAGTTCTGGGCTGATTTCTCACCTTTCTTAGGATCATTGAGACCCCACGAGGTGAGATCTTGCATGGAGCCCCAGTCCGAGGGAGATTGGCAGTCGTGTTTAGCTTCTTCCATTTTCTAATGATTGCTCCAACAGTGGACCTTTTTTCACCAAGCTGCTTGGCAATTTCCCTGTAGCCCTTTCCAGCCTTGTGGAGGTGTACAATTTTGTCTCTAGTGTCTTTGGACAGCTCTTTGGTCTTGGCCATGTTAGTAGTTGGATTCTTACCGAGTGTATCTTCTTCTTCTTCTTTGGGTTTTTACGGCAGCTGGCATCCACTGAGTTGCATTACTGCCACCTTCTGTTTTTATTTACCCTTTGCTTCCATTCTTACTAAATCCGCCTATCTAATCCAGTCGCCCTCAGAAAACCAAATATCCATTTCCTACCCTCCACACTTTCTCCATACTCCAATAAACCTTTTACTGTATTATCTATCCGTCCTATTTTTTTAACTGTGTCATCATTTCTTGTCTTTCCTGAGTAAATTTCCTGCATGTTATAAGAATATGTTCTGCTGTTTCAGCCTCCTGACATTGTTCACACATTCCTGTAGGATGTTTTCCTGTAATTAAAAGTGTGCTGTTAAGATTGCTATGCCCAATTCTCAGCCTACTTATTATCACCTGCTCTTTCCTCTTTGCTCCCCTACTTCTTGATATACCTACTTTACTTTGGATTCTGTGTAAATGTCTCCCTTTTATTGCATTATCCCAGCTCTGTTGCCATTGTTGATTTACACTTCTCCACACTATGCCTTTCCCCTCTGATTTTGATAATTTAATGTTAACTTCAACATCTCCTTTTTTAACTGCTTCTTTTGCCACCTTATCTGCTACCCGAGTGTGCAGGGACCCACAGAAATATGACATTTTCCCCCTGCCCAGCTATTCTTGAATTCATAAATAAAACTTCATAAAGCAAGTCCAGGTGACTTCTAGTTGTGCATGTCTTCATGCTTATAAGAGCTGACATAGAGTCACTACATATTAATATTTCCTTATCACTAATTTGTTCTGTCCATTCCAACGCCATCAATATGGCAAACAGTTCAACTGCAAACACACTCAGACAATCAGATGTTCTTTTGCTAAGTTCTAACTGATACTTAGGAACAATAACTGCAGACCCTGTTGCATCTGTTTGCATGTCTTTTGACCCATCTGTGAAAATCTGAATACTTTCCTTATACTTACATTCCCTATAGCTATAATATACACTAGTTAAATCGGCATTCTTGTTATTGCGTTTAATCTCAAGTAGTTCCAAATCTACACATTGCTCTCCTGTCCACCCAAAACTTGTTTTTTGTGTTGTCTGCTACTTCCATAGTCTAACCTTGATCTTATTAAGGCTATATATATGTATTTCAGCAATGCTACTTACTGGTATGGGGTGGACAGGTGTCTTTATGCAGCTAATGACCTCAAACAGGTGCATCTCATTTAGGATAATAAATGGAGTGGAGGTGGACATTTTGAAGGCAGACTAACAGGTCTTTGAGAGTCAGAATTCTAGCTGATAGACAGGTGTTCAAATACTTATTTGCAGCTGTATCATACAAATAAATAGTTAAAAAATCATGCATTGTGATTTCTGGATTATTTTTTTTTTAGATTATGTCTCTCACAGTGGACATGCACCTACGATGACAATTTCAGACCCCTCCATGATTTCTAAGTGGGAGAACTTGCAAAATAGCAGGGTGTTCAAATACTTATTTTCCTCACTGTATATATTTTTTTAAACTGTAATTGCAAATATAAATGGGGACAATTAACAGGAGGAGTTAAGCTCCACATTCGGTGAAACACTAACAGAGAGAGCAGAGGACAGAATCAGCACCCTTAAATGACACAAATTATAAGAAATTGCATCCACATTTTGAGAGACTATTATATTTGCATTTTACAGTTTTAAATGTTACCAAGAAATATACAAAGCTTTTTGGTGCAGCCATGAACTTTAATTTCCAGCATCTCAAATTAATGTGAAAGTCTATCTATTCCCAGTGTGCAGTCCATACATGGCTTCTAGTGGCGTCTAACATTCACAATCTGAGGACACGCATTGTATTGCTTTTTGTCTGTGCTTAACACATTAACAAGTGTTTATCCAAAATTAGACATGTGGATGTTTTGGGAACAACAGTCTTAGGCACTGCAAGTGAAGAACAGTTCAAATAACATGTTTATACACATTTGTTTTGTCAATAACAGAGTAAGGAATGGTAGAATCTATGTATGATCTGCAGTGGTAATAATTCGCAATATAAACCAATACTGAATTTTCTTTAGTAGTCTTTATAGAAGAGCAACCATTAGATTCTCTCTTGTAGGTGCCCAAACTGACATTTGTATTATCCTTAAACACATCTTTTAATAAACATTAACTGAAAACCAAATCTGTACTCAGTTTTACATCATTTTCAAACAAAGTGCTTATCTCATCATATTCTCCAAATAAATTAAATACAAAGGAATTCGTAACACATACATATTAACCAAAGTTTCATGTCACATACCAATATTTTTACATAACATTTTCAATCAACAACACTTATTTTCCCACATTTAAATCCATGTATGATTGGATGAAATTAATTCAGTCATTAACAAATAGATCTTTTGTCCGCTCACACATTAGGCCGGGAAAATTTAACAAATTCATCGCTGTTACTGTGCTCACAGCTTATGAATTAAAGTCATCCAATTCTCACTGTTTTTCCTCTTCATCTTCCCATCAACCAATCATTGTCCTCAGTTTTCAGTAGGCGGGCTGTAGCTCAGGCATGGCTGACTGGCAGTTGTGTCAGTGAATGGGATATGAGCGGCTGAAGCAAAAGTGGGTCTGGAGGTTGGACTAGAGAAGTAAAAAAAAAAAAATATTTATACATGAAAAAACAATTATGAATGAACCACAGAGACTGTACTGCAGAGATGAACGATTAATCGTTTTCAAATCGAAATTGCGATTTGAAAGAACACGATTAACTAATCGTGAAGTCGGCGATTAAAATATAGGTTAATTACACAGCGCATCTGACCCGTTTTATACAGTCATGCAGTTACAGATTCATTCCGTTGTCATCCTTGTGTGAAAGACCTGCTCGCCAATCACAATCGCCATGCTTGTACTGTTACGGTCCTACTCACCAATCAGAGGGCGTGTTCATTTTACAACAACAAACAAAACTGGAGGAAAACGCGGAATGGCATCAGGCAAATGGCATCAGGCATACAGGCAGTGGCTGTGCTGCGTTTTGTTCCGGCATCAACTCATAGTGAAGTGTTTCAGCAGCAGAGTGTTTAGCTGCCAAACGTTGTTGATGTGTTGTTAATTTGTCATTTTGTCTGCTTTAACTATGGATAACAGTTCTCTGTCTGTTCTGGTCTCTGCAGGCTTAAGTTACAGATGCACATTTGACAATAAGAGCGTTTTGCCTGCCTGATTTTTCTGACTTGTTCAGATTTTGTTAATTTGTTGAGCTGTTTTAGTGCTTCTCATGATTAGTAGACGACGTAGTTAAATTGTATCTTTTTTGTTTGTTTTAACCGTTTATTGTTGATGTGTGACCAGATTCTCTATGCCGTTCTGTGTCTGACTTCCTGCCCAGTTCATCTGCTCTGTGCTGCTTGATATGGGTTACGTCAAAAATCAACTGGCAGTTATTAGCTAAACTTAAAAAAAAGAAATTGCAATATCTGGCAGAAAAATCACTATTAGATTTTTTCCCCCAAATCATTCAGCCCTGTTACAATAACTACATGATTTCTAAAAAAAAGAAACAATTCTGTATTGTAAAAATTTTCGTCAGCACAGGGACGTGTGCATGTATTTCTTACCATCCATATAAGTCAGTGTTGTGAGGAGGGGTGCATCTGGGGAAATATAGGTTGTGTATTGCAGATCCTCCATCAAAGGTGGCGTCAGCTGACCGGCAGCAAGTGATGTCATCATGGTTGAGGAAGAAGGGTTTGGGCTGATGTATTTCTTTTGACGAGCTCGACAGTTCTGAAACCAGACCTGGAGGGAGGAAGAAAGGAGACATAGCTGGTCTAAAAGGTGATACTCTCAATTGGCTGAACATTTTTCAGTACACTGATAGATAAAATGGCAGTAGCTTTACCTGAATAACCCTTCGGCTGAGACCAGTCCTCTCTGCCAGTTTCTGGAGAGTCTGGGCATCTGGGTTGTTATCTTTAGCAAACTGACTTTGCATTACCTGCACATGTAGAGACAACAGAGAAGGACATATAGTTGAAATCTAAGTCAAGTTTAATATTGTATTACTTTATAATACTTTAGTAGAGACGACTGCACTGTGTTCAAAAACAATGCATCAATTGTCAATGCCACTAGAGGACAGAAACACATCAAGTCAAGGTGACCAAATATCACTGGCTTATGTTATGACTAACATTGACTACACATTCAGAGCAACATTAGCTTTTGTTTGGAATCAAACCTTCCCTCTCATTTTAACTCAGTGTTGAACTCTAAGTTTTGAGAATTTTACTTTGATCTTTAGCTTGCTGAAATATATTGATTGACATGAGATAACATATATAATACATGCAATACTGAGGCATAGTCATATATTCTCTATAATATAAGTCATGGTATAATCACAATCTACTATCTGTGAGGTGTTTATGCAGAGCCCAAAGATTACCATTTTTTTTATAATTGATTCTGTTTTAATGTATATAGTCTGCTATGAAGCAGAAGGGAGTGACAAAACAAAATCTCACTCTATAACTTGTTATATTGTGAAAATAAACTTACCTACCTAATCTCATCATACTGTTATTTTAGTAGGAAACCACAGTAACCAGATGTCATGAGCATTTGCTCAAGGGAAAATGTTCATTGGTCATTAGAAATGCACTCAGGACAATTTATCCTATTATTTAATTATCTCTCTGCAGGTGGAATTCGTTGGCCTCACCCTGTTGTGGAAGTCAATGGAATATGACTACAGTCAGAAGGAAGGGTTGGCAGTACCTGTAACTGGTCAACAGTGAAGCTGGTCCTGGCCCTCTTAGCAGGTCTGGGTATGGTGCTGGATTCATCTTTGTCTGCTACTTCTTCATCTTCTTTTGGTTGATCTTCAAGACAAGACACAGGGCAGGACATTTTGAAATACAAGGCCGTGTTTCAGATGTGGTCCTTCTGAAAGTTTGTACTTCAGTAATATCAAAGATGCATACCTGTAGAAAGGCAGCATTGTTCTGAGATCAGGTTGTATTGGCACAATGTGTGTTAGTTGGCATTTTTTTCCCCATTCACTCTGTGATATAGAGTGGCAATGGGAAGATTTGACTATGTCACTACTGAACTGGAGACTTCTGCCACACTGCAATGCTGTATTTACAGTCTTTCATTCATTTTAGTAGAGCAGTGGTCATAGTGAGCAGACAGTGGAGATGGCTTTGTTAGATGTGTATTACTGAAAAGGAGATTATGACTTCTCTCCCTTCTTCAGCTCCCTTAGTCTTTTCCTCTCTATGAACAGCGTACACTGCCATCAGAAACTTCAACACAAGCAGCCAAAGCTGACCCATCACAGCCGTTTTAGCCCAGGCGTGTACTGTATTCATATGACAGAAAAACTTCAGTTACAGAGTATTTACAGCAGCTATGTGTGTGGGCAGACTGTACCACATTAATGCATTTTGTATATATAGTGTTTTTTTCCTCTGTAGAAGCCCTGGGGGCCTCATAGTACTCTTTCTTTAGATGAGAAATGTTTAGGCAAACCTAACGTTTTTTGATATCTTCAAATCCCTATCCATATTCATGGTAGAGAGTTTACAGATAAAAATCAAGATTCCAATGACTGTAAAACTAACTTGTGAAATGATGTAACCCAAGTAATGCTGCACTAAAATATTAGATTAACAATAAATATTTTAACAAACACAGATGGAAACACATTTTTTTTTTTTTTTATGATCCTCCTGATTAGTTTATTCACCAAAGACAACATTGCTAATCTACTTTAGTTATAAATGACTTGTGCCTTGAGTATTTGGTGTCAATAATTTGGTATCAAAAATCTAAACTGCTCCCTGCAAGTAACCATAGTATAATACAGCGGGTTAACAAGGTTTGTAAATTATTCTGATTAATCTGGGCATACTTTCTGCAAAAACCTCCATAGATAAAACATGTGGTATCTTCTATTCTTTTTTTTGGTAGCCCGTCCGGCTATGCCTGTATGTGAGTCCCTTCCTGTAAAACTGTTGGCTTTGAGGAGAGTGATATAACAGCGGTCTTTTTTTTACCAACGTGGTGGATAAAAGGGTTTATTTTGACAGAAACAACCAAACCCTTGCTATCTATCCATTTACTTGTCATCCAACCCACCATATACTCACCATTTTCCTTAGCATGTTTGATATTCTCCATCATAATGTCATAGTGTGGCCGGCAGAAGACCCTGTTCTCTAGTAGTCCACATTCCTCCCCAGTGGACAGCTGCCTCTTACAAGATGTGCAGGAGAAGCAGGCCAGGTGGAAGGTGCTGCCTCGGGCCCGACGCACCCAATCACTAGAATGGATGTTCCGGCCACAGCGAGCACAGCGGGTCCCATACCTCCTGAAGAAAGATATGCAACAGATGGAGAGGTGGTGGTGGAGTTTAGTGGAAGAGCTGCAATTAGGTGACTGATCAGTTAGTAATACCTAGTCAAGCAATTAGTCTACAGCACTTGTATAATTGTTATGCAAGTGCGGTTTGTCAGGATCATTTTTATTGTTGAATAGACTCAACGTGCTTACTTAGCTAATAAATATATATTATACAAAGAAACTTTAAATTTTTCTTCTTCAAATGAAAAATCTCTAAACTCTTATTCTGTGCCAAATACAGCGACAGATTCTGGGGTTCTCTTGCCCACACAAGACATTTTGAAACAGTCTGCCAAGTACAAGAAAACTCCTTTGCAATAGCTGGGACTATTCACACACACACACACACTATAAATATTCCATACAAATAAATATTAAAAATTATATAAATAAATAAAACAGTAAGTGTGTGAGTACCTTGAACCAGAGTGTATGACAAACAGTTTGAGTTATGAAATCTGGCATGGCATATTGGTGTGTGTGTGTTTTTTTGTGTTGTGTTGAATTTGTGGCTGTCCATCTGATTTTACTAAATGTAAAATGCATGCTTTGGAAGAAGGATGGATGAGAGGGTGGAGCTGGGGATGGACAGGCATTGCTACTCCTGACAGGTCACCAATCACATGGTAGCCACACCCTAAAAGCATACCCTGATTTATTAGGACTCTCACTGACTTGAAAGTCAAACGTGAGCTGCAGGCCACTGCAGGGGCAAGGAATAAAAAATGCACTCTGCATGCGTGAGCTTAAACCTAGTTCACACTACACGATTTTTAGCCCGATTTGCCGGTCGGCAAGTGTCAGGCTGTGATCGGGAGTAAATCAGCGGCCGCCAGTCATTATGTGTGAACTACTCAACGAATCATCAAAACGGCTCCACGACACATCACTGCCATCTGCCAGATGTCTAGCATGCCAAATATCTGGAAGATATTGTGTTTACTGAGCTAATACATCAGATGAGAAGTAGGGGCATTTTTATAATTAGCTTGCAATGTGACTTCTTTTTACAATCAGTGGAGTCGCCCCCAGCTGGCCATAACAAAAAAATGCAGGATTAAGGCACGTCCGCGCTGGCTTCATTTCTCAGACCCAGAGTATCCTGCTTGGATCAAACATTAAAGCGTTTACAGTTTTGTTACATTTAAATTCTTTGTGCCACTTGTTCTTGAACTTCGAGTACACAGATTATCCCCACTGTGAAAATTAGAGACAATACTTCAAGATGATGGAGACTGATCATGTATGTTATTCCAATATGGCATGTTGTCATTTAATTATATTCATTTTCTCAAATGTTATTGTATTTTTAACTCCTGCATTTTCTTTTCTTATCCAAAGTGCACTTTTGTTTTTACATAACATCACTGGAGATAAAATTATGTTAGGTCTGACTTACCTAAAGTAGTCAAGTTTGCAGAAAACTTGTTTATCCTTGATGTAGCAGCTCACGTGTCGCCCTAGTGATGTCTGACATACACTGCACGAGAGGCAGCGCACGTGCCAGCAGAAGTTGTTCACCTGAGGTAAGGTAAAAAGATTTTAACATAATATGGCTTACAAGGGCTATTTTACACATCCCTTAAGAGTATATTTAATTATATTCAATTAACTGAAGGCAATAGAGGTTGCTCAAATTCTTGACTATGCATTTACTTTGCTGGGGGGGGGTACAAGGTAAAATTATAGTTTTTCCTCAATGGAGTCTGGTGTGCTGTTGCGCCCATTTGATTTGGTCTGAGATGCTGGTGTTCTAGTGCGACGTTTAGAGGCGGTGGATGTCACACACAGCTCCTTTAACTGGGCACATTCATGACCTCTTGTACAAGGCCTACCACTGCAGACATATACTGGGTGAGGCCTATCACCAAAGCAAATAGGGTTAAATGAGAAAGTGGTTTTCTTAATAATTTTGGTGACCTGAATGTCAGAGTAATCATGAGTAGACCAAAGTCCAACAATAACCAAAAATAATTTGACTGCAGGTTTTTAGCACTCTGCTGCATTAGTGTGAAGTGAAACATTCAGCTACTATGTGATCAAATACACGCTATAATTAAGTTAATTAAAAAATAAATTGACAGCCTAAATTGAGAGAAATTTACAAATTAATTGTTTTGTAAAGATCACATTTATTTAACTTTTTAAAGCTATCTAACAGGCTTAAAAACTTTTGCTCAAAAATCTTTGAGTAGGCAAAGTGATACACTTAGTAGAAACTAAGGAAGAAGAAATGTCTTAAAACATAGTGACACTTAACTGAAATAGCCTCAAGCTGTAAACATAACTGCCCTTATATATATATATATATATATATATATATATATCCTGTGCATTGTTGTCAAACACTTCTTGCTATGATACAGTATATTATCGAACAGTGAGTCTGACCTTGAGGAGGTATCGGTCAACTATATCTAGGCCGCAGGAGGTGCACAGTGTTTTCCCCTGCAGGGAGGCCACAGGGGGGGCAGAGGAGGAGGAGGAAGAGGAGAGGGAGGACGGGGAGTAGCAGTCCTCCTCGAAAATATCATCAGGCCCAGAGGAACCCTGTAAAAGCGACAGTCTGACAATGTAACAACAGAGTAGCTATGAAAACTTTTTGGGTTTTCAAAATTCTCTAAATAATTTAGAGCGTCGTTCTGAGTGAATGTAGCCTGAAAGCAAAGCAAGGGTCCGAATTTCTAAAGGTTTGTTAGCCTATTAGTTTGGGCATACTTTGTAAGAGTAAAAAAAAAAAAAAGCTACACTTTTTGGTTTTACATACACATACAATCACGCGCGCTACAATTCATCTTTTCAAACTCTGCCACTTTACCCCACCAGACTTCAGAAGTTGTTACTTAGATGTTGAAAACACCTACTGTGTCGACAAAAACATTCCCATGTTGTAACTGAGTGAAAACAGCCTCCGTCGGTCGCTGTTCTCCCTCCGACATGGTGTCAGTCCAGAGTGATGCGCAAGACCGTGACAACCAAGCACACTGCTGTCCCTTTCACATTTCCATGACAACCACAGTCATTAGCCACACACTAATAAAGGTCACTAAAGCCAAATAGACGTTCAAACATTGTGTAGGCACGTTTGTACCTTTATTTTATTTATGTGCAGTCATATGTCGGGTTAGGACCATTGTAGACTGAAGCGGTCCACATATTCAATTGGTTAATGTTTCCCCCCCTCATGATAAATAAAAAACCTCTTTGTGTAAAATGATGAAAGCTTAGCCTACTGGGCGACGTCAGGAGACCGGCCTCGCGCACAGCTGAATGTGATTCTGACTGATTGGGAAAAGCCGCGCACGTGCACCTGATAACGAGCCATCAGCCGGGCGCAGGTGAGTTTTACGCCCCGGTGTGTTCGCCGCATATTAACCTACGCCAGAAAACAGGTCTGACAATGCTGCGTTTTCTAACAATATTTGCAGCTACCTGTAGGCCCTATCCTCGTTCCTAATCTAAAGGTATTTTTGAAATCTAAACCTAAACCGTAAACCACCTTGTTTAATAAAGCATATAACGCCAACTGGTTCACGTGCGGAGACCCTTCACGTTATAAGTTTAGGTTTGAGCAAAGAGGCTGTTGGAATAACTGATCTGTAGACTATTACAAGGCTTTTATCAGATGTTGGGTGAATAAAAAATATATTAATGCAGATACAGTAAATAAGGCCTTGATGTAGTCTATTGCACTTTTTTCGGTTTGACTTCTCATTAAGACAGACGGAATATAATTCTTAAATCAACATATAGGCTACTAAATTAGCAAAATCAGAATCAGCTTTATTTGCCAGGTAGGCCTACACATACGAGGAATTTGACTCAGGATTGTACATTGCTCACGATGTAAATAAATTAGTCTAATAAATCCCAGAAGTATTGTCCCTGTAGGCCTGTACCTGATATGATTTTTTGGCCTTTACAGTATGACCTAAATAAATGTCAGATCCAATTGCTTTCTATACAATGATATTACTTTAACCTCGACATTGTTAATGTCAGGTTTGTGGTTCAGGTCTATATGTCACCTAGCGTAGGTTGTAGGCTATAAACCTGATGATTCTGAGCACCAGGAATTGGTTAACATTTTATAGATATATAATAGCCTCCTCCAAAATAAAAAAGATTGTTGTTTGTGTTGTGACGTTAAATGCGCAGCAATATGAGAAACTTGAAACATGTAAAACTAATAAAGTTATGTAAACCATTTTAGTTTAGAGTGCTTTAGAGGATTTATTAAATCCACATATAGGCTAGTCAAATCTTTCTGAAATTGTAAAGTAGAGCTATTTATCTACAATATGTTTGCAGGTTACTCACCACGCTGTTGGAGACAGAGTTAAACATGTTCACGGAGCATCTGCCTGCTCCTTCGGTACATTCCCGTCCAGCCAGATGTTTTTATTCCACAGCAGCAGCCTGAACTTGGTGTTTGACACAGTCCACTACTCCAGCGTGTCAACCCACCTGCTTCACCTTTGCTTCTTGCTCTCCTGGTGACTTTGTTCACAGACCACTTGTAAGAGCCTCAACTTTGTTCTAGTCATTTTAAGCAACCCAGCGCACCTCCCACTCTGATGACCCGCCCGCTGCATGCATCCGTGAAAGGTCAGGGTTTTTATTGTGAGGATCAGATGAGCCTCCGTTTTTCTTTCTCTTTATTTCCGTTCTTTCCGTTCTTTTTTATAGATGGGAACATATATGGATGTTACTGTGTCATAATGTAGACATTGGTCTAACGTCACTTGTATCATTAGAGTCCATTAAGGCTGCTGTCATTTAAGAAAATCTAACCTTATTAAAAAGTCAGCTCTCAAAGAGCTTTTCCTGTGAGAAGCATTATGAGTCACTTAAGCCCATGTGACACTATCAGTATACCTAATATTTTCCTTTCTTGCCATCAGGGTTATTATGAACACATCACAAGTCAAGTTTGGGGACTAAATCATATTTATTTAGTCATCCATTTTTGACAGCAGTAGCCTACTCAATATGGAAGACCAAAACTTCCAACATCAAAAATAAATGACTCATTAAATAAACTAATGTGCCATTAAATGCACCAAAAATAATATTATTAACAATGATAATATTATTATTTATTTGCAGTATTTATTTACCTTTGTATTATTCCAACTATTTATTTACTTTCTCATTGATGCCTATGTAATATTTTCCATGATCTTTATTTCCACAAATTTGTTCTGTGTTTTCTTGTAATTTTTTTAATGCATTTCTGATTCATTGTATAAAATGAGGGGGCTGTCATTCAAGATGTGTCATGGCATCTACTTTTCGCCTATTGGTTGATGGACAACAGAGTGCATGGATCGACTTTACATGTTCGGTATTCTCAGCACGCGTTTATAGTTTTTCCAGCCTACTCTGGGGGTGCCCAGAAATGGGTCTCGCTAAATGTGACAGATGTGGTAGCTTGGAAAATAGCAAAATACCCCCCTCTCCTGAAAATGAGAAATGTTTGTTGTACGCAATGTCAAAACATTACAAGTATACCATATGCAGCAGGTCATGTACAGGTGCTGGTCATATAATGAGAATATCATCAAAAAGTTGATTTATTTCAGTAATTCCATTCAAAAAGTGAAACTTGGATATTATATTCATTCATTACACACAGAATGATATATTTCAAATGTTTATTTCATTTAATTGTGATGATTAAAACTGACAACTAATGAAAATCCCAAATTCAGAATCCCCGAAAATTAGAATATTACTGAAGACCAATACAAAAAAAAGATTTTTAGAAATGTTGGCCAACTGAAAAGTATGAACAAGAAAAGCATGAGCATGTACAGCACTCAATACTTAGTTGGGGCTCCTTTTGCCTGAATTACTGCAGCAATGCGGCGTCGCATGGAGTCGATCAGTCTGTGGCACTGCTCAGGTGTTATGAGAGCCCAGGTTGCTCTGATAGTGGCCTTCAGCTCTTCTGCATTGTTGGGTCTGGCATATCGCATCTTCCTCTTCACAATACCCCATAGATTTTCTATAGGGTGAAGGTCAGGCCAGTTTGCTGGCCAATTAAGAACAGGGATACCATGGTCCTTAAACCAGGTACTGGTAGCTTTGGCACTGTGTGCAGGTGCCAAGTCCTGTTGGAAAATGAAATCTGCAGCTCCATAAAGTTGATCAGCAGCAGGAAGCATGAAGTGCTCTAAAACTTCCTGGTAGACGGCTGCGTTGACCTTTGACCTCAGAAAACACAGTGGACCAACACCAGCAGATCACATGGCACCCCAAACCATCACTGACTGTGGAAACTTTACACTGGACTTCAAGCAACGTGGATTCTGTGCCTCTCCTCTCTTCCTCCAGACTCTGGGACCTTGATTTCTAAAGGAAATGCAAAATTTACTTTCATCAGAGAACATAACTTTGGACCACTCAGCAGCAGTCCAGTCCTTTTTGTCTTTAGCCCAGGTGAGACGATTCTGCCGCTGTATCTTGTTCAAGAGTGACTTGACACAAGCTGAAACCCATGTCTTGCATACGTCTGTGCGTGGTGGTTCTTGAAGCACTGACTCCAGCTGCAGTCCACTCTTTGTGAATCTCCCCCACATTTTTGAATGGGTTTTGTTTCACAATCCTCTCCAGGGTGCGGTTATCCCTATTGCTTGTACACTTTTTCTACCACATCTTTTCCTTCCCTTCGCCTCTCTATTAATGTGCTTGGACACAGAGCTTTGTGAACAGCCAGCCTCTTTAGCAATGACCTTTTGTGTCTTGCCCTCCTTGTGCAAGGTGTCAATGGTCGTCTTTTGGACAGCTGTCAAGTCTTCCCCATGATTGTGTAGCCTACAGAACTAGACTGAGAGACCATTTAAAGGCCTTTGCAGGTGTTTATTAGTTAATTAGCTGATTAGAGTGTGGCACCAGGTGTCTTCAATATTGAACCTTTTCACAATATTCTAATAATCTGAGATACTGATTTTGGGGTTTTCATTAGTTGTCAGTTAGGACTTTTTGAACTATATCCTTCATCGATTTAAGGAACTATTATAATCTAGCCATCTAACCAAATGCAGAGGGGGTCTGGCAGAGCCAAGTGGTCCCCACCTCTTAAGCACAGAGTGCTCTTGTTTCTACAGGGTTCCTACTCTTTCATAATTACCTTGTCAGACTTTAAGTGAAGATGATGGCTAACCAAAGACTGGGGCCATGAAGGCATGAATAAAAACATTCTCAGAGGGCACTTGGGTCAAGAATCCCTTTGGGTCTTATCTGTGCATATATGTCTGCAACCTGATACCTCAGTCCCCCGGCGTTCTAAACTGGCTCTCGAGGATATGACAAGGTTGTGAGGCACAGAGTGTTTGTGTGTCAAACAGAACCCAATAGAGCAGACTTTTAAACTTAATCTTTAAACTGTATGAATCAGCACCACAAAACAGACTGCTAATTTATTAGAATTCCCAAAAGCAAATACTGATCTTGCATTTATAAGGTCTATCTGATTTTTCTTTTGTATCAATCAACATCTTGATTAACAATGTCTTCTATGTCACGTTTTTACACAATCTCCAGGACATTATCTTTATAGGACTTAAGATTCTCTCCAAGATGACACTGTATCGCACATTTTTGTTAAGCTAACAAATGTGATTTTTATTTTAGGGAGCATAAAAACAGCTCTGTCTACTGTAGCTTTTAAAAAAAGATACACTAAATGATTTCTTTTCTCCTTCAGACAATATTTGATTCCTATTTTTAGTATAACGATAACATATATTAATAAGCCCTTTTCAGTTCATTGTTCCATGTGCAATTCAGTTTTGCAAGATAACACTCTTTAAACTGTTAATGTAAAGTTGTTCTGGGGCCATAAAATGAAATAAAAATGCTAGAGAAACAGAAAAAGTGATTGTAAGTGTAGCCCTGATCGATTCAGTATGGAGTCTGACCTTTGTATTTCTGTAGTGGTTTAGGGTTCACTGGTGTTCTGTCTTTCATTGCAACTACCCAGTTCTCTCTAATCCAGCCCTCTTCACAGGGTTCGAGGATTTAGGACAACACTCCACACAGACAGCATCTGAGTCATTCAAATGAATGGGGCTATGCTTGAATCAGGTGGGGGCAGCTATTAGCTCATATTATATAAACTGTACATACAAGCTCTGGGTGTTTAATATCAGAGCACAGCAAGACTTGATGTTGTTAGGACCCTTTGTTTAGAACAGTTACTTTTTCTTCAGACAATTGTGACTTACAGGTTAATAACAGCTGAGGTTAATTAACAGCTCAGGAATAAATGGCTGCTAAAATATTGAATCAGCCTCCTATTATGGTCTGAAAATCATTTACCTTGCCTTGCTAGCACAATTACACAAGACTGACAAAAATACTTGGCTGCCCTAATACCCATTTGTCTAAAAACACTGCATGACTTAAGAAGGTCTGAGAGCTCTGGACAGCACACACACTGCAGGCACCTGCTCCTTTCTGAGACTGGGTGGATAATTGAGCTGTCAAACCTGTTAGTGTAAGTACTGGTCAAACAGTCAGTCACAAAGAGGATTAATTCTTTCTTCAACCTGCCTAAAAGTGTCAGACATGAAACAGGGGGAAATGAGGTTGGCATGGATTTATGGATATTTGTAGGTTTGATGAAATCGAAAATTAAGTTTAATTTTGTTTGATTATGCTGAACAAATCAGACCTAAGCGTCCATATGTAAGGATGTGAGAACGTGTTGTCTGACCTGCTCAGTGGCAAATTTATCATCATGACGTCAGGGTTCGTGAGCAGTGGCAGTGTTTGTCAGTGGGTTTGGTTTCCCTCCTCAGCCAAAAACATCCCAACATCCTACAAACACACGCTTTTTGTTTTTGGTTAAAAGCAGCAGTTGCTTTTGGTTTGACCCGTGACATGCTGTTCTTATCTCGCTGTGTCACGGTACGGGTGTGTCACCATACATGAATCTGTGCGTGTTTGTACGAGTGATGCAAGTGCATCTGATATTACTAAGCCTGTCAGGGAGACTCACTGGTGAAAGATTGGATGTGACTGTGTGTGCAGTGTCTGTGCAGGGTATGGATGTGTGTGAGAGAGAGGGAGAGATCATTTTCCTTTTCAACTGCCATGACCCTGACAGGAGGTGTTTGGTTGTGACAGGTATGGGTGGAAGAGCATGATGAAGGTGGTGGTCCTTTCACTCATTACACTGGAAACTATACAGAAGGTTAGAATTAGGGAGGTCAGTGTGTATTTGTGTATGTATGTGTGTGTCAGCATGGGCATATGTGCATGTTGTGTTACCAACAGAGATGGGGACTCGAGTCGCACTTAAAGCTGGAGGGTGGAACATGAACTTCCAAGGACTTACATTCAAGTCCTGTGGCGACATGTGGCTGGTGTACCATTGCGTTTTCAAACAACAACCAGCAACGACTGATTTTCCCGGGACAACCCAGAGCAATATACGTTAACAGTTAAATGTATTTGAAAATCAGGGTGTTGTAAGCTTATGTCATAGGTTATCAATCCGACAATTAT